CTTCGCAAGCAGTCAAACCAGACTGCGGGAACTGTACAGGGCCATCAGTGATCTGCCAGGCGTTTCCCTGAACGGACAACGTGTCTGGCTGGACGCTATGGCGGACTGGTTGGAGACGGTACAGGCGGCTTTCGATCGCGACCGCAATCTGGGGCACATCTCCAGCACAGGCTTCTGGACGGCCAATGCAAGCGCCCTGGGTGTGCTGGGGTTGCGTTTGATCGTCCAGACTAACCACGGTCTCCAGCTTGATCGGGTAGGTTACCATATCTACGAAGGGACTTCTTTTTATCTTAAAAATGCGACCTGTCACAATAAGGGAGAAGGGCGTGAGTATGGATTAAATTAATAAGTCGAGGTGACATGCAAATCTTAAAGAACGATGTCAGGTGGTTGTTTCTTGTTCGAGGTACTATGAGAACGCTTAGTAATCCAACAGAAGGAAAATTTGAAAGTATTTGGCGCCTCAGTCACACGAACAGTTACCACAACTCCTCGCCTGTGTACATCTTTAACTTGCATAAAATAAATCCATACTATGCTGTTTCGGGTCGTTCTACTCGCGCCTAGACTGTCACAAAAAGAGGTAGCCATGTACGCACACCATGCCGAAAACACATGATACCGGTTCCCGCCAAGTTTTTTTCCCTTTGAGTTGCGTGTGGCTGTGTGTGTATGTAATCAAGGTGTATGGACTGCTTTTTTGAAATTTAATGTCCATCAGTCATGTGCGGGTATAGATTCTTAGCTATCATACGTGGTCCTCTGATACTGCAGCTTGACACGACGTCATGCTTCGGAGACCGCTTTGACTAGAAGACTCACCCGGACACGAGTAACCTTTTTGCCTACGGACTATTTAACCTGCATACGCTTTTGCGGTAGGGGTTCGCGGAAGCGGATCAGTAACTTGTTACGGTGGTAAATGCAGACATTATCATTAGAGTTTGGTGGAAGGTATAGTCACTCCTCATCTCTTCCACATTTACCCATTTCTCCTAGCATGTTTCATCCAGGGTTTTTGGTGCGCCAACCAGTCTGACATTTGCCTTGCAATTTCTCCCAGATTATTACGGCGCGTCTCGTGACAAATCGCATCGTTGACCCCACTGGCTTCAACATCTTCCTACGGGTGTGGAGGAACCACGACATTCTCAACTATACGGGCCCACCCTGTGTCATCTTCCCCGACCCGGGTCTTGGTCATGATCTTCGCCTTTTCACGCCTACTGCGGTCGGCGGTGGTCCCCACGACCTCAGTCCCATACGGCCAGCCGTACCCACGGAGTACGTCCAGACCAGCTTCTTCGCCTCGGGCTATGCAACTGTGGAGTCACAAATTGAACTAGTGAAGGTTAGTCAACTGCTAGTCGTGCCTTTCGTCCCCCATATAAGGAGAGTTGTGAGCTTCTGTTGACAAATTTTTAGCCACTAGTGCGCCCAC